AATATGAAAAGTTCCCGTCAGGGATTCATCGAAGGTCTATCTACTGGAATAAACAATATTCCCGTTGGAAAAGGACGCAGACTCATAATAACCCATATTGGAAACGAATACGGTTTTGTCAATGGTGGATTATTAAGTTTTGCCTCATAATCAACCAAAGATTACCACGAGGAAATGACTGCTGACGTTTTTGAAGAATATTTTGAGCAAATGTTGGATTTAATTCCAAAAAATTCTTTCACGGTCATGGATAATGCTAGTTACCATTCAAGACTAGCAGAAAAATTGCCAATAACGGCATGGAAAAAAGGAGAGATAATCGAATGGTTGGTTAAACACGCAATTAAGTACAAGGAGAATTCGACAAAAAAGGAATTATTACCTATCGTAAGGTAACATAAAGCAGCTTATAAAAAATATATAATTGATGAAATGGCATTAAACCGTGATGTGATTATTTTACGTTTACCCCCATACCACTGTGGTCTGAATCCGATAGAAAATATATGGTCTCAAGTAAAGGGTGAAGTCGGACGCAACAACAAAACTTTTAAATTAGAATACTTACAACAATTATTAGAACATTCCTTATCAAAAGTAACTCCAGAAAATTGGAAAAATGCCGTTAGTCATCCTTACAAGGAACAAAATAAAATGTGGAATTTGGATAATATGACTGATGCAATGCTGGAACCGGTAATAATTAACATTGGAGTTGAAGATTCCTTAGATTCTGAAGAAAGTAGTGAATCTGATATGGAATTTGATTAAAATAATATTCATTTTTTTACAAATCGGCCCCTGTTACGGTTACAAATTATTTTATATATAACCAATAAAATAAACATCTTACATTTCTTGCAAATTCATTAGTACCTGTTAATCACTCCATCACTCCGACACTGGCAACTTTATTTAGGGATTAGTATCCCTCAAAACTATTGTATTCTATTCTGCTTCAAACTTTATACCTGGTGGTCATACTCAATTTTAAATTGTTTTCCTATATACTTCTGTAAACTTGTTGACAAATATCTATTTTTTATTGAGTCACCCGTATCAACAGTTTAGGGATTTGCATACATAATGTGCTATCAATATGATGGAAATGAACTATAACATTTTGAAAGATGAGTATTATTAAAATATAGTTAAAAAAGACCAGAACTGCGATTCATGTGAAGATGGAAAGGAATGTTGCTGTTTTCTGGAGGACGACATACATGTCATAAGATTTTTTTATTATACTGCTTTCCAACCATGCAGAAATTGTTTTTCTGTTTTTTTAAACTTTATTACTAATTGAATGGCAGATTTTCTCATTTCCTGAAAAATGTGAAAAAAATGAACAAAGTGTAATTTGAAAGTCTGCTCCTCAAATATGATATATTGACCATATACATAGCAGAAAATAGCGTGATACATTGTGTTGCGCTTGTATTCAGTTTATAACCTATTGTCAATTCTTAATGTAATCCTGTTCTATGCATATATTTATACTAAACACATAATATGTCAAAAATCAAAATAACTTCAGTAATACTATATAAAGATATAAATAAACAGGCTAATGCTAGAGATGCTATCGGTCTATTAAGAGTTATGAATGAAAATTACCAAATGCATATCAGGGCGTTTTTAAATATCAATCAGCAATGTAAGCATAAAAATCAGATACAACGAAAAACTGTCAGACAGTTTTGAAACCAAACAAAGTTTAAAGCAGAGGGATACCCTCTGCTTACAACTCTGTTTAATATGTGTCTAGAATTTTATGCTAAGAGAAACAAATTTAAACAGACGGGGAACAAATTACTTTGCTTATGCGGATGATTCTGACATTCTGGCTAGATATACAGATGTATTGAAAAACTTATGCAGTGTACTGCGAACCTAAGCCTAGTCATAAATGAAAACAAATCAAAGTACATGAAATTTACAATATCTTAAACAAAATCAAGAGAACAGGTAATTTTCAAGATTGGGAATTTCACTTAACTGAGAACTAACATACATGAGAGCGAAATATATAATTGTAAGCTGGACGAAAGAATATAAATAGGAAATGTTAAGGAGTTTTACACAAAATCCATATATCTAAAAATTTGTCGCGACGAGCCAAAATACATATATTTATAAAAAACAGTTCCGAGACAGAACGTCCTCTATGCAAGCGAAAGATTTTTTCAGAAAGGAGGTTAAACCAACGCACACATTTTCAGCATATTTTTAAAGTTAAGCATTTAAAATAAGGCATTGTGGTGTATCTACTAAGTACTTCAATTTAAAACAAGATACATATCTGCCTCCATGACCATAACTGACATAGACTGTAATAGCGGCTTCCCACGGTCCGCGATATTACGGACGTAAGCGGACCAGCACGCACCACGCACCGTGGAAGGGCCTCGTCCGTGGTAGCGCAGGCACGTCTGTGCTGGTCCGTCCTATCCATCTAGAGTCGGTAACATCAAAGGTGCGGTACATGCTCGTGCGATGCGATCCTAGCGCGTCTGTGTTTTAACAGACGACAAGTGCAAGTCAGAAGTTTTTCATTCGCTGACACGAGTAGTTGTCTGTAGTGTTGTCAAAGTTGTTTTGCAGTTTTTTTTGCTAAAAAATGGAATGGACAAACGAAGTTATTTTTAATTTTTTAAATTTGTATCAAAATGAAACAAATTTGTGGAATTCTACGGCACCAGAGCATAAGAAGCGGAACCGATATATACGATGTATGGAACCAAATAAAAAATAAATTGAAGAATAGTACTATTTCGATTAAAGAATTAAAAAAGAAGAGAAATAATTTAATGCCGAATTGAATGTTTACAAGCCTGAGTGGCCTTTTTATGATATAATCAAACAATACTGTCACGGACCTACACAGACTGTCACGGACCGTGGGAAGAGCTCTGTCTGCGGTGCGTTCTCGTCCGTGCTGATCGGCTGCCGCGATGATCTGTAGAATCGCCGACCGTGGGAAGCCACTGCAGAAAGATCTTAGTAGATCTAAAGAAAGTGTAGGGTATTATATACTGAATTTTATCAGAACGTTATCATAACTTTGCTCGCTTTTGGCCTGTAATATTTTCCCAGTGGGTTGCATTAAGTTTCATTATCCAGTTTAAGAAATATTTAAGGATGCGATTTTCTGTTTTGGTTAAAAAAATACTACCTAATTATTTAGCAAGAATATCACTAATTTTATTACCAGCAATTCACTCACATTTATGAAAATGTGCGAGTGCGACATCTTATTTTGCAGACATAAGGTCTGTGAATATCTTTAAGTATTGCGTTATTCCAACAAAATCTCCAGATTTCCAGTTAGATCGCCTGGTTTCAAACATTGAGCCTATGTTAGCTTAAAGGCACATTCTGGAGTCATTATTCGTACATTCTCTACGAACTCCATTCTTGTCTTTGCTACGTTATTTTGTTCCACCAAATCAGCGCAGCTTAATTAATTATGAATTTGATAACCGGTACACAAGACCAAAAATCTTGTTTCACAACCCATGTTGTGCCACCATAAGTGACTTAGACCGTCAATAGGAAAGAAATATATATATATATATATATATATATATATATATATATATATATATATTATTTGTAGTCTCAGCAATTGGTCTGTATGAAATAAAACTCTATTTGTTATTTCTCAATATTTCGTCACGATTTTGTGACTTCTTCAGGAGAAAACTGTAAATTTATTATAATTATTATATGTAAACAAAATGAATATTTCAATACTTACAACTTAAGATTAAAAATTTAAATTTTGATAACATATCCAATTTAAATAAATGACATTTTTTTGATTTTAATTTATTTGGGAGTTATGGTAACCGCAATATTTTATAGAGTGAATTTCCATTGTACAATTTTTAGCGAATAAGTTTTAGTAAACAATTACATATTGTGACAGTATTATCCATATAATAAGGTGCAAAAGTACTTTTGCCGCGGAATTGTAGACAATTCATGTTCTTGGATCCAAGCTTGAGTATAAGCAGAAGTATGGCATCTTGCATTATCTTGCTGAGAACGCCACCCCTCTGGATATAAAACATGAGCCGTTTCAAGAAGAAAAAAATTTAGGATATCACAATATTTCGCACTATCAACAGTACCATTAACTATACAGAGAGGTGTAGCACCACGCTGACATATTGCTCCCCAAACCATTATTTTAGTGGGAAATTTGTAAATTTGAACGGTAACATTTTCTCTTGATAGGACATGCGGACAGTTTCTGGGTACACTTTTATTCTTCTTTGATTTCCAAATTTGTTTCGCTAATTTTCGAAACCCTAGGCGCGAATTTTGTCGTCCTAAAGCCACTAAACCATTTAAATTGTTTCCGCGAATCTTACACGGTCTACCCGAAACTGGTCTATGTATCATATCTATGCCATTTTTTATCCTCTTTATTGTCTCACACACTGCACTTTTTCCGAGTTCAGTCAATTGCACTAATTTTTTAACGTTTCGGAGACACTTTCTATACAAATATTTCACCACTTTTCTTTTTACTACTTGCGACATTATTTCACAAATCTTAAGTTTGTTTACAAATAACAATATTTGACAGATAGCATTGTTATGCGATTTTGTCCATAACCTACTATCGGCACAACCTACTTGATGCATTACTTTTGTCTTAAAATGTTACAAAAAGGAAATCTATTAAAATTGGGAAAAACATAAAATTCCGGATACTTTCTAGACGGACTATATATACATTTTTTTAAATTAGAGAAATTATGTAGTGAATGGGATAATAGAGAAACTAGATATCTGTAGAGAAGGAATACATAATATATGAGCTTATAGGAATGGTAAGTCATGGATAAATATGGCATAAGTGTTCCATATTTCCTTGACATCATTAAGAACATATTATTTTATTGTGGAGATATATAGAATATAGACTTTAGAACTCATAAATTGATATATAATAAATTTATGTTTCTACATTTGCGAAATTATGGTTTTATTAATATTAATTTCTTTCCAAAAATGTTTATTATGTGTATTTCATAAAGTCTGTTTCTGGTTTTAATATTAAGGTCCAATTCTTCGGTGACACCACTTTCCATTACCACAACTTTTGAAAATAATTCTATCTGCGATAAAATGATCTCTTCCATTATAAAAATCCATTTCTACTGGAGTAAGGCGATAGGCAATCCTAAAAATCAACAAATAGAATTTTAACTAGATAAAACTTAAAGCTAAAGCAGAGCGCGTGTATGTCCGCATATGCGTGTGGGTGAGCGTGAGCGTAAGCGTGTGCAAGTACATGTATTTGTGCGTGTGTGTGTGTGTGTGTGTGTGTGTGTGTGTGTGTGTGTGTGTGTGTGTGTGTGTGTGTGTGTGTGTGTGTGTGTGTGTGCGTGTGTGTGTGCGCGCGTGTGTGTGGCTGTGTGTTTTTTAACGAGTCTGCTTCTTCATAGTTAATCGGATGAGTCTCCAAAAATATTTTCGATGGTATCAGGTTAATTATCGTTTGCACAGAGATGTTTAGCTTGGTACTGTTAACCTTTTTCCATCGATGAACAACGATTTTCTCTCCTAGAATTAACGGTACTAGTCTAGTCGTCAGAGATTTGATGTTTAAAATTCATACGAGCAAGCTGACTTTTGCCGAGAATATCAATTTTAGAATTTCAAAAACATGCAAGAAAGTATGCCACTCCTACCTACGGGCTTTCCCTAAAACCTTCCATCGTAGAAGAAAAAACAGAAAACATCAATTTAACAAGAATATGTATGCCGTAGACAAACATGTTTCAACCAAGAAATATAGCTGAGCTAATTTTGAACACAGATGTTAATTAGCACTTTTTGTGTATGAATAAACCGTTCTCTTAGAATCATCGCTTGAAGCGACCGACGATTTTACATGTCAGTTTCTTCTTTTTCACGTGTCATATCAGAGTTATCCGACTTTGGCTATCACCATTATGAAGGCTTCTCGATCTTCTGCCAGATGGACTAGTTGTCCTGCATTTGATATCATTTTATTTCTATGTATGAATCTAATTGGTTCATTGTAACAGTTTAATAATGTTGAATAATCATATAATGTTTGTTAGATTGCTTCTATCAGGAGTTCCATATAATGAAACTCTAGGGGTATTTTACACTGTGCATGGGTTTGATTAACTCGAACTCACTGGATATTTATAATTACTTTATTGGTTCTCTAAGTACAATAATAGAGAGAGTACCCAGTTGACGGATAATAACACTAGCTTCGACTGTTAACTATTAATTCTTAATGATCTATTCCTGTTATTTTCCAGGTTTTTAACTCACGTGCGTTTGTTTACGTATTCATGTTTTACTAATATAATTTGTACACAATATTAAATAAGCTTTTAATTACATTGTAAATTGTAAATTTCACTAGGTCAGCGTCTCGGTAAGAGTGTTCTAGTTACACCGATATTTTTAATGCCATAAAAAACAATCGCATTGAGCAATATGCAATGATTAATATTATTAAAAAGATTTAAAATTTTTAAACTGAAATGCTTAGTTAAATCCCGTTATAACAGTTCCCAAATATGTAATTTTGTAAACGTTTTCAACTCCATTTAATTGAAGCTCTACATCTGGATGTGGGTTACGACTAAAGACTAAAAACTTTATTTTAATGCCCATTTCATCGCCTAATTCGTGAATACGATCAAGTAGAATTTGGAGTACCTACTTCGATATTTTCTGATATAATTACTGTATCGTCCACGTATCTAATAATAAAAAGTAGTTCCTTGTTGATTTGGATTCCATATGGTTGTCTCTCAAGTGCTTTTTAAATAGCTTCTTCTTAGGGTGCCTGTCCATTCCGAACGTTGCCGATCATTCTGGCTGTGATGACTTTGTTGGTTGCTATACGAAATAGCTGTGTTGAGGTCTTTCTATACCTGCTCTCAGGTTAGCAAGCTAGGATACTCTTCTTTGTCCTGGGGCCCCTTTTCCTTCAATCTTACCTTGCAAAATGCATTAAAGTAGCTCGTATCTGCCTTGATTTCTCATTATATGTCCCAAGTACTGCAGCTTACGGCCCTTATGTTGATCAAATCCACGGTTGTGTTCATCTTCAGCAGTACTTCTTCATTGTTGACTTCCTCCTCCGCAGTCTATTCATGGTATCTTCAGGATCCTTCTGTAAAACCATAGCTCAAAAGCTTGAAGTTTTGATAAAGTTCCCGCTTTCAATGTCCACTTTTTTACTCCGTACAGAAGCACTGAATACACGTAACATTTAAGGACCCTTATTTTTTTTATTAGCCTTATTTTAAATACCTGGTCCGAGTAAACATTGAACAGTGTTATGGACAAAGTAGATATAGGGGTAAACAACCTGCAGACTGCATTGATTAACATGGAAGAATGGAGTATCCAATGGAAAATAGCCATCAACTCGCAGCTAAAGAAGATGCAAGCGGTTGTCTTTCAAAAGAGAAGAAAGAATCCAGAAGAACAGCTGACAGCGCACACACAATCCCATAGAATGGAAAAGAGGAGCGAAATACCACGGAGTCATATTGGACCAAGGATTGAGATTTAGTCGCAACAGTCCAAAAATAACACTGGCCAGAGCTTCAATAAGATGCTATTCATTCACAGGTAGAAGAAGTAAATTTCGCATGAAAACAAACCTGAGATTGATAAACAGCATAATATTAGCAATGTATCGGTCGCAATTGGGACACAGGTAACAGCAATAAAAACAGGATGCAATCGGCTCACACTAACAGCCTCAGAGAAGCAGTAAATATACCCAAGTAGGTAGCTGAACAATTCCTCTTCAGAGAAAAAGCCAGAACAAAATTCGCTGAGCTATAAAAAATGCGAAAGCCACCAAAAACACTAACAAACCCAAAAACGGGCAAGAGGAGCCAACATATTTGAACTGGGCGTAGCCCAGGCCGGAGACATGAGACCTGAGCCAGTAATTCAGCCAACAATAGAGGTAACAGGAAAACAGCGCCTTTATGTTAACTTGCTTTGATCGGGATGCCAGATTTCTTCTTCTTAGAGTGCCGTCTCCCTACGGAGGTTGGCAATCATAATGGCTATTTTTATTTTAGAACTTGCTGCTCTAAACAAATCAATCGATCTGCATTGATACCAATCACGTAGATTCTGCTAGACTGGGTTCAATTAAATTGTTTGCTATATTAGTTCTACAGAATCCATTTATGAAATTAAAACTGAGAAATATGTAATTGCAAAACTTTTTCAAACTAGCTAAGACTACATCATCATGATTTTTTGAATATAACAATTAATTAACCCTTTTTGAATAGAATTCTTTCCATTCAGTTACAACCTTAGTAAAAACTAATATGTCTTAAAATAAGAACCATTATTTTATTTTAATTAAAAAATTGTTTATTTAAAAGGTGACATTTTATCATAAGATACGTTTATTATAAAACGACACCTTAATGCAAAGGTAAATACATCTAATAGTCAATCTGTTACGGTCAGCGGCTTAGGTTTAGTGCAGCCCGCTCTATCATTCTGGACACAGAAAAACAAAGACACTTGGATGCTGTGGCTGATGATCGACAGGTTAATAAAAGTATTAATAAATTGATGTTCAGGGTAAAACCTTATTAGTTACCTACACTGTTGAAGGCATTTTCAGTTGCAATCCTTTTTCACACTGTTTTACAAGTGCGTCGAATTTATTCTTATGTGTTTCCCAATCGAGTATTTTTCCTTGTTGAACAATATGAAACTTAACTTTCATAAACTCTGGTATGTTATCAAAATAGGCTGATGTTTGATCAGTAGGCAGTTGCCCCACCGGTCCAAAGAAACGTACCTGTAAAATATAAATTAAATAATAATCACTACTATTTTTTAAATATCCACCAGTTTAAAGTTGCCGACGAGTTTGTATTAAAGTTGACGTTTAATCTATACAATATATTTATATCTATGTCGGCACCCATTTAGGAGCCATTATAAAGAATGATATGGTTCCATTCGAGTTCGGGGTCTCAATCTGCCTACTCTTCTCACTCGTGAAGTACCAGTATCTTGTTCTGTAGAAATACAAGAACCGTCAAACGGCACATTGTCTCAAAACATATTCTTTAAATTCTGGATGTCTAATACCTATACACTTTTCATTCTAAAATGATTTCTATGGTCAAATCAAAGGTGGATGGTATCTACATGGAACATTTCGAAACAATAACCCTATCCTCATCAAATCTCAAACCCACCTGCTTGCGAACCACCTAAAAGACTTTTATTTACACGCTAAAAGACTTTTGGCAATTGATCCTGCTCAGATCATTACTGCGCATATCGTTCCCACGCATACTGAGAGTATAAAATCAGCTACACAGGGAAAGATCTGTCGTTAGTAAGGGGTTACTAGTGCTAGTAGTAGGCTAGTAGTTCGACTCGAGCAGTCGAACAGTGCAGACGTGCGAAGAGCGAAGCAAAGACACCACCGAGGAGCTGCAGTGACCTAGTCGAAGCTGGACTTTTTAGTCTGACCGTGAATGTAAGCACGGTAAGCGGAGACTTGCCGAGGACAGAAAAGACAGACGGACAACAAAAAAGCCTCCTTTCAAATTACATCTATCAGTCCCAATAATATGGATCACTCACGATCTTCACCTGATGGTAAGCCATCCCCTAGCCTCTATGGTTGCAGTGAAAGGAAACTCCACTGCAACATCTATGACGCGTTGCCCCCAATAGACGACGGAAATGGTAACTACGAGATTGAAGATGACAACACCAACGACGGGGACTTCAAACGTCCCAAAAAGAAAAGGACAAAAGGCCGTGCGGAGTAAACAGCGAAACAGAACCAATAACAACGGACGACGACACATCAAAAAGCCAAACCAGCAAAAGGCTAAGACAAAGTAGTAGCGAGGACGAAAAGTTTGCTACGAGCATTAAAAACATTACTGAAGGAAAAGGATGCTGAAATAGCGGCACTACGAAAGAAAATCGAAGAGTTTTGAGACACAATAGTAGCCCCACAGATGTCTATCATTGAACATATGGACGAAAAGTTCAACCAACCGAACGAAGGAAAACCACAGAAAACAGAGGTAAACCAGGAACAAAAGAAGAAGGAAAACCAGGCTACAAAAAAGAAAGAAGATAACCTGAAAACTTAGGCCAACAAGAAAATAAAAGCTACGGAAACGATCCCCAAAAAATCCCAACAAGAAGAGAAAAAAACTCACGGGAACAATCCCCAAAAAAAGCCCAACAAGAAGATAAGCCAAAAGAAGTAGAAAAACCATAAACAAGAAAAGAAGATTTCCCTACACTCCCCTCCCCCCCCCCCCATTAAAGAAGCAAGAAAGTGATGCGCAAGTCGATCGACGCACTCCGTCTCCATCACAAATGGAAACAGAAGTACCCAAGAAAACTTGGGTACAAACACCACCGGTAATTAAATTACAGAATGTGAACTACACTGGAACAATATTATACGTTGCCCAAAAAAAAAAAACACTTAATAACGACAAAAAAATTATCAAGAAGTCGCAGAGAGACGCTAATATAGGCGAAAATCCCCGAAGATTACTGTAAGATGGTAAAAATCATTAATAAATTTAATGAGGACACCCCAATTCAGTGGATAGCGTTTCCGCTTGAAGAAGATATTAAGCCAAGGATGGTAATAAGAGGGCTACCTCCTACAACAAACCCAAAAGACATGTACGAAGAGATAAGAGACGATCATAACATCGAAGTCTTGTCGATTAAAAACATGACTTCAAAGAAGAGCGACAAAAGACACCTACCCATGTTCGTCATGACGGTGGAGAGGGAGGACACCGAGCGACTAAAGCGCATCACCAACCTGATGCACATGAAAGTAGTAATAGAGGACCTCAGAAAGACATAAGGGCCAACACAGTGCTTCAACTGCCAGGGCTACCATCATGCACAGAGAGCGTGCTTCAAAACACCTCGATGTGTAAAATGCGGAGAAGAGTACCCAAGCAGAAGCTGCAAAATACCTAAAGAACAAAAGGCAAACTGTCAAGGACAACACCCCGCAAACTTTAAAGGATGTCCTAGCCCAACCTGGGGCCGCCAACAACAGCCCCAAACAAGACAGAAAACAACGATGCAAAGAAGGCCACAAGTCACTCCAGTCGGACCTTCCTACGCACAAGCAGCGAAAGCTGAAGAAAATGAGAATACGATTCTCATCTCCAGGCAGCATCAAGATGGCCTAGTAAACTGTGTAAAACAGCTACTCACTAGGGTCGTAAACGAGGCGATAGCAGACATCAAGCTAGCACTGAAGTAGTGCATGCAAATAGGGGATACTTGAGGATAGGCTCCTGGAACCCAGGAGGTATAAGGACCAACCAGAACATACTGGACGAACTGGTCAATAGATACGAAATGGACGTCGTAGCCATACAAGAAACAAAACTTGCAAACAATATAAACATCAAATTCTCAAAATACGACATCTATAGGAACGACAAGACAGCAAGATCAGGCGACACTGCAATACTTGAGAAAAAAGGCATAGGTCTCATTAGAATACTAACACCGCAACTAGACACTATGCAAGCAACAACAATAAGAGTACAAATAAGGCAAGGAGAAGTCAGAATTACCTCCGCCTACGTGAGACCACAAGATTTACTGATCGAAGAAGACCTAAATACGTTCTTAAACGAGGAACCCTCAATAATAATTGGAAATTTTAACGCAAAACCCCCAAACTGGAACGACAGAGCTACGAACAGAAATGGAAGACTACTAAACGCATACATTGAAAACAACGAAGAAACTATGGCAATGGACTCCACAGACCCAACGCATTATCCAGGAAACGGACTTCCCACACACATAGACATTGTAGTAACAAAAAACCTACGTAGCGGAAAGATTCCTCTTTAGAGAACTGCAGCAAATCAGAGTGACTGACACAATGAAAGAGAAAGCTAGGATAAAGTTCGTAGAGTTAGAGAATCACACCAGTCACATACTGCGAGAGATAATGAGGTATAACGCTTTCCATAGATGGAAGCACAAAAGACCTAAACAACAAATAGTAGACTAAAACAAAATCCCAGAAAGAGAACTAAAAACACCCCAGATGGAAACGAAACCCCACAACCAGAGAGAGAAGAAATTTCAAAAATATCAATAACAAAGCACAATGAAGACAGTTCGTTGCTCAAAAACATCCAGGATATCGCCAAACCCAGAGTGGGCCCGGTTGCCTAAATGAGGATAAACTCTATATTGTCATATTGTTTTATATTTTATATATTTTTCATTATTATAATATAGATTTTACTATAATTCTGATTTTTTGTTAGAGGGCCACCTACAAAAAAATCTACAAAAACCGGCTTCTGCCACCAAAAAAATCACAAAATTACTAACAAAAACCGGCGAAACCCACCAAAAAAATTAACGAAACCCCAAAACTCGGGCACGTAGGGCCCAATCCCTTGAGCACCAAGTCGCGAACTGAGCCGGGGCTCAGAGCGGAGACTTGAGGCCCAAGTAAGCAATTTTAGTTCGCGGATAAGCCACATTAAGATAACAGGAATAATAGTGACAATGCGATATCCTGAGTTTTTGCAAATAGGTTAGGAAACCATGTGCTATAGGGGGAAAAGGGATGGTCTGGAGCATTGGAGCGCGGTGGGGTGACTCCTGTTTTTACACGAGTTAACACACCTCGCTCTAATGAATTATTACACCCGATCGTAATTCATAGAGGTGAACATTTCTCACAGGCTGGGTTCAATTAAATTGCTTGCTTGCTTGCTAGATCTGTCGTTACTCGACACAGAAGTAGGCAGATTGAGTCCTCAGTTTTTGTATTTCTACAGAAAAAGAGACTGGTCACGAGTGAGGGTAGTAAGCAGATTGAGACCCTGAACTCGAACAAAATCATATTATTCTTGATAATGGCTCAAAAATGGGTGCCAAAATGTCAAGTTACAAATTATTAACGTGGTTCTTCGTGAGAACTTGGTAATTTTCATTTATCTGACCGCGTAAATTTACCCGAATAGAAAAGTGTTTTTAATAACAATGAAATATAATTTTGTAATAAGACCAGATCAAGTAACGCAAGCACTTGCTCTTCAGAATGATAAGCATTCCATTCGATATAATATCACAGATATACTAAGGTTTCCGCCAATTACAATATACGAACTGGTTTTTACTTATTTATGAAGACCAAGAAAAGTATAGGAAAGACTAAAGTCAACAAATGCCGTAGAAGATCGGTTTCTTACACTTCAAGTGCTTCGAGAGCGGAAAGTTACTGCTATAGCGTTGCCCAAGAGACTAGTAGATGCTCATGGTACCATAGTTTCACCTGATACCGTACGTCGAAGATAAAGCGAACAAAATTTATCATCTTATGTACCTGTTACAGACCCTTTATTCGACGCAGCTTATCGAAGACAACGCTTGGAATTCTGTCGTACTCATTCAGATTGGAATATGAAGATTCAAAAAACGTTCTGTTTACTGACGAATCACGCTTGACGAGATATTTACCTGATTGCCGCCAAAAAGTATAGAGAAGACCAGGAAAATGCTATGCTCAATGTTGCTTAACTCTTAGTATTTTATCAATGAACCTTAGCATTTTCTTATGGAATTTTACATAGAAAATCAGAAACGGTATTTTAACCTTTTTACAGGTATAGCTTTTACTTAATCCTATTTAATTTTAGTTAGTTTTACACTTCATCATTCCTTACCGTTTCGGCTATTTCTCATTTTTGATAAAATGAAAGGCAGATATCGAGCACTGTTTTATTAATTAAATCTTGCCCAAGTACTTTC